AGCAGAAGCCACAATGCCTTGTTGCCATTACACGCATGCAAATATAGACGAAAACGCGTGTTCCCACAGTGGTTCCGCGACGCGCCTTTGTTTAGAGCGACGGCTGTGCGATGATTGCAATTTGCTTAGGCTTAGGCTTAGGCCTAGGCTTAGGCTTCGGCTTAGGTTAGTCTTAAATTAAGCTTAGGTTCAGGATTAACTTAGATTTAGGCTTAAGCTTTGGCTTAGGCTTAGACTGAGGTGTGGCTTAGCTTTAGGCTTAGAGTTAGGATTAGGCTTAGAGGATTAGGCTTGAATTGAGGCTTAGGCTTAGGTTTAAGCTTATGTTAGGCTTAGACTTAGGACTAGGCTTTGGTTTAGGCGTAGGTCAAGGCTTAGGTTTCCGATGCAATGCAATAGGCTCGTTACCAGGTTAAAGTGTTTCGTTGCCTTAAATCCTCCCAATCTTTTATTAACGCATGCAAATTCAATTAACAAGGGGGAAAACCAAAACAGGATTACGAAAAACCGGACGCCGGAATGCTTCGAACAAAGCGGTGCACTAACAAAGAAAGGTTGGGCATCTCCGCGATTGGTTTTCGTTCCAAGAAAAAGTCGGCGCCGTTGATGGTACCCTCCATGCGCACACGCAGCACTGCGCCATCGTCCCGGGTGTTTACCCATTTCCTGTAACCTCTTGATTCGCCAAGCGATAGATTCCACGTATGATTTGCATCCGTACACAAGCCACAGCTAATCTGGATTATTGCAATCTCTCGCACGCCGGCCATCCAATCAGAGATGAGACCTTGCACCAGCTCATGGATCCGATTCCACGCTTGATTGTTGATGCGAAGAATGAAGCGTGGATGTTGGATCGACATTCCCTCCTTCAAAACCTCCAAGTCCGTCACGTACGCTTTGAAGGTTCCACAATTCCGTTCCGACAGCCAGCGCTTCAGGTTTGTCGACCATGCCCGAACATGGATGTTGACGTTCTTGTACGGTCCATTGGCCGGTTTATGAAATTGCAGGACCTCGAGTATATCATCTTCTTCCGTCTTCTTGATATTCCACCCACAACGTTTCAGCCCTAGGGGCTGGATGTGTCAAGCGCTTGCAGACAACCTCAAATTTTTCGAGGGTCGCGTTGGCGAATAACAGCTTGAAAGTACGTTCCGAAACTGACAGCCGGTATCGGAACCGCATCACGTTCGGCGGCTTCGAAATGCGAAAGCCCGTAATGTGTTGATGGAAAGTGCCCGGCCAGTATTTGCCAGGCCATTTTTCAATGTTGTTCCAGTGGGTACGACAGCTTCTCGCGAAGAAGTAGAGGGTTTTGATGTCGAAATGCCTCCAAATTTTATGCAGCACTTCGGATGGTAAACTCTGGGTGTCCATTGCCTGCAAAGACAGGGTCATAGATGGGGGGAAAAAGCGCGAAAAATTGCAAAAACCAATAGGGGAATTGCTAATTGGGTAAGACTTGACTTTACCCCCCCCCCCTCCACAGCCCGAAGGGTCTCAAAGTTTTCGGTATTTTCGCTTATTGTGTCGGCATTTTTGCAAGGACATTCGATAGTGTCGAAAATATACTAGAAATTTTAATTTTAGCCTACAATAATGTACAATCAGAAACTTATAGGCAAAAACTTCCGGCTCGGGGGGGTAAAGTAAAGTGTAGCCCCTAATTGTAAATTAACGCTCACCTAAAAAGTAAATAAAAGTTAGACCTAAGAAAATAAGTATATAAGTATAGCGCTACCTAAATTAAACCAAGACAAACTAAATTTTATGGGAATTTTTTATAACAAAACAATAAATGTTGACAAGGCTGGTATCTAAATAGTGTCAATGCCAGTTTAAAAAAAAATTGATTTTGTTGATAATTGATAAAACACCTTGAACACCTGAACACAATTCTCAATAGCGTCTATAATTTAAATAAAGAACGATAAGACTAGATGAGCACAGTTAGAGGTGAAACCTAGGCAAAGTAAACGATTTCTCAATCCTAATGAGGGTTATTTGCATAATCCGGCCCGGGGGCGCGCAATCGAATCGAATCGATAGACAAACTCCAAATCCCCCGAACACCGTACGGCATTATGCAAATTGTATGTATAAAATCAATATAAAAAATCAATAAGTGTGTTGAAAGGTTACATGCTTTATTCGACATTTCCCGAATAAAAACAAAACAAGCCAACAATTCGCATTTTAAAATTTGACAAAAATGACGCAAAAAGCATGGCATTGAAATTTAGTTAGCAATAGTAAAATGATGGGGAAGAAAAATGATGACGTATATATCAGCCCTTAATCAGTCAGCATCAAGATCATAAACCGTCGGTAGGACTCGTGCGTCCCCTTTTGACTAGAGTGGATCATCTTTAAACGTTGCGCATCCGTCCTTTTTAGCCAGCAAATGTGCTCGACGCCTAGCTCACCGCTCTCGCTGTCGTGCTTTAACCAGGTGAATCGGTCAAGCCAACTGTCGTCCAGATCGTAGCATTCTCCGCACAGAATTTTCACGGCTTCAATGTCCCGCTCTTGCGCCAGCCATTCTCTCAAGAGCAGCTCGGCAAAGTATCCAACTCCTTGAGAAGGCACAAAACCAGCAACCAGATACGTGGCGTTCTGATGTTTAATGGCTAGGTATTGATCTAATGGACTCGATGTCCGGAGCTCAAAATTGTCACAATTCGACATCGATAGCCACCTCGACAGTCTAGGCAGTGGCGCCGTATCGTTGAGTCTAACATCTTTGTATGGACGCCCGATCGGCTTGTAGCGGCGCAACATATCGACAATGTCATCAACAAAACAATCGATATTTAGTCTCTCAGCCCTTATGACGAGTCGAGACAACCTTGGGCATGAGATCTCCAGCACTTCCAAAGTGGAATTGTCAAAGAGTAATTTGACGGTACGGTCCGGCAGCATGTGCCGAAACTCAGGGCTGAATGGTATCTTGGAGTACCTGCAGCCAAACTGGTGGATGTATAAAGTACCATCGAAGGACTTCGGGGCATCCCCTACGAGCTTCCAGCAGTGCCGGCTCGTTCTCGCAAAGTGGGACAGGGTATTGAAGTCGAGAAAACTCAGGATGCCGCGTTGAATTTCTGGAGGAAAGGCGGGGAAGTCCATTGCCTGAAAAACGTGCGTTTTGAAAAATCATAAAAAGCTTATCAAGAAGCAGAAACGAAACGAAAGAAAAACGTAAATTAATTGCGTGATACGTTGTTGCGAGTGATTATCGAAGCAGCTCGAAAACCCAAAAATGGCGGCAGATTCAAATATTTGAGTATCCTTTCAGAAGCGCCGCGCGGAAGAGCGGCTGCGTATTAATAGACGTGGTTGCAAAAAAATCTATTGAAGTTTAGGAAGCGCAAAAAAACTTAGTAAATAATGAGGGGCCACACGAACAAATTGGAATAGTGTCGTAGAGTCAAGTTATGTGTATGCTTTTTCCGCACCTTTTTAGACCTCGGACTTTTTTTGTTTTCCAAAAGAGTTTTTGCTAGTTGTCAGCTTCAAAAATTAGCTATAACCCTTTTCCCATCCAATTTCCCGGAACTTGAGCGCCCTGCCTTATCACACTGCCTTATCACGATTATAGCCTGCCACTGTTTTTGACGCGGCTTCGTGCAAAGCCTTTCTTAAATTCGATTCGAATTCGATTTCTTCCATCTTCCATGGATCGCCATTGGTTAATCACTCCAATACTATTAGCCTCGCTTTATAATGCCGCTGCCACGGAAATACTGGCTGAGCTTCAAGAATGCCAGGTCCTGTTTGTGGCCGATCTCTCAGAAACGGCGCCGGTATGCCACGTCGAAAATCGCTAACTCGGAATTCAGCCCACCCAAACACAAACTATACTTTCGTCGATGAACAATTTGTTTAACAGCGCGGGGGCGAACAACTTCAATTTGTCGATCGCGTTTTGGCGCTACAGTCGAGGGGGTGACTACGATGGGCCGATTCCGACCAATTTCGCATACTCAATGAAGGATGTGTTGCTTAATTTTGCGTTTCCGGGCGGCGAGCTAAACATCGAATAGTGGGCCGGTGGTTATTGATTAGGTTTTTTTCTAGCGCGACGCAAGAACTGTCCAACTGGTCGGTGCAAGATGTGAAGATCGTGCTCTTCACCGGAAGGTTGGTGCGGTGGCCGCTCCACTACAAGACCTTGAAGATGAAACATTTTTATCGTTTAGGAAGCTTGTTGGCGCTTTGCCGCATTTTAGAACATTTTTAGTGATCCCCGATATTTCCCAGCAGCCGGTCGAAATTATACGCGAAAGTCTGCCACGGTCGGTGTTGCGAGTAAGTTTTTTGCGTCTGATGATTGTGCGCGGCGTAAATTTTTAAGTTTTTTTTTATGCCAGATACACGTCAACACAAAATCGACAACAATCTCGTTTTGAGCTCTAATGATTTTCCTTCCACAAAGGTCATTTTCAGTTGGTGCAGACACAAGCGACTTTGCGGAAATATCGATCCCATATATGCAGCCACTGACTATTTTGGATGCCACTTTTCAATTATGCCACAAGACGCCAGCAACCAGAATTCCAATTAGTACGCCGAGCACGTCTCCAACCACAACTACACCGATCAAAACATCAAAGACGACTACAAATGCTACGAAAAGCACTGCCCCAACCACCACTGCAAGTACTACGGTCAGTACAACATCGACTACTACTCCAACTACGCCGACGAGCACTAGACCAACGACGACGCCAAGTACGACGACCACCACAACACCAACTTTGACTCCAACAACGCCGACGAGCACTAGACCAACGACAACGCCAAGTACGACGCCCACCACAACACCAACGTTGACTCCAACAACGCCGACGAGCAGTAGACCAACGACAACGCCAAGTACGACGCCCACCACAACACCAACGTTGTCTCCAACAACGCTGAAGAGCACTAGACCAACGACAACTAAATGGACGCATCCCACAATTGACTCGAAGCCCATCTGCAACGTTTTGTTATGGATGGATGCCTCGTCAGAAGCGTTTGTAAGTCAGTGTGCAAAATTTGTCTTCGTTAAGAGGCGCATCGAGATACGCATTTTAAAAAAATTACCTTTAGAAGTCGATAGATGCGCAAGTTTTGCAACTCCAACATATCGCGCGGCTCGTCTACGATTACGTACCCAGTCCTAACTTTTCCTTTGCTGGCGGCATTTATGTTTTGGGCCAGGTAACCCTTTTAATGCATGCCGGTTTGCCGTTGTCCTGGTTTGACGGGCCAGAAATATAAGCCAATTCAGGATGGTTTGGTCCAGTCGAACATGAACACGTTTTACTATGATTTTTCCTCCTTTAATCGACGTCTGACAGCTTTGAGAAGCCAACTGGACGAGAATCATGCTACCGGCGATACCATCAAGGAGTAAGGTTTTTTAAATTGTATTCAACTAGTTATTTATTAATTGATTAATCTTATCTTATTTATTCATCAATTAAGTTTAATTTGATTTTATTTATTAAATGAATTGGCTATTTGGTCAGAAATTTAAAAAATTTGCTCGAGTTTTTTCTAGGAGCTGTTGCCAACCTTCGAGAAGGGAAAGTTCAGCATTGTTTGCGAAAAAATAAGACCAATTTAGTACTATCGAACTAATCAACAAGCTCAATTTCTGGGACGACACAATGTTAATATTCTTTACCGCAAGGTATGGGTGAACAAAATTAAACAGATCGACGGGAATTTACAGCAGCAGTGATGAAATTCTTCAAGCACCAATGAACGATAAATACGAAATGACCTATGCTTGGGATATGCACGCCTCTCCCGAAGGGCTTTCGCGGGTCGCAAACCTTATTTCATCACCGTTCTACGACGGAATGCTCGCCAGCATACGCGGATTCTGCAGTCGATTTGGAGCTCTATAAACGTTGCTGTTCTGAATCGGAAAAACCAAGTTTTGTGATAAATATAAAATAACTGCAGTTATTTCTTGACATTTCGTACGCGAAAAAGAAACCCCAATGAATTTCCGACTGTTGCATCCGTGGACGCAATTTTCCCTGCGAATCATCGATCGGTAATTTCAAAATCGTTTTAGCACGATTGAATTGATTAATCACCACAACTTTATTGACAATACGATGCTAATATTTTTCTTTAATAGGTGCTAGCAACGAATTTTGAGGATCAGGTTTTAGTCCGCAAAGGGAAGTGGATGCTGCGCCAAATAACACGCACCTGCCGATGACCTACGCATCAACTTTTGAAGGAATGACGGACCTATCGCGGGTGGCGAACCCAATTCCATCTCCCGTTTGGAAAGGAATTGCCAATAGTATCGCCAATTTTTGCAGCCGATCAGAATCGTCTGCACTGCCAGGTACTCTTTTTTTATTTTATTAGCTGCTGAAATAAACATTTTATACTATTTAGCTTTAGATTATTTAGACCAAAAAGAAAGAAAAAAACTTTATTTAGAAAATCGCGTAATGGATGACGACAAATCCGGACCATCATTAAAAATAAAGTATTTATGATTTCTTTAATAAATGGTCAATCTGACGGTGCAAATCCCGACGCCTAAAGCTTACCGAAGCCTAAGCTCAAACCTACGTCTAAGCCTAAGCCTAATTCCAAACCAGAACTCGAGGTTACTCGTTACCTTCGAAGTTGACCTTTGCCACACCACACCCCAGGGCTACGTGCCAACCTGATACCCGTCCACCCTTATCAAGGAGTAGCCATGGCCTACTTTTTTCTATTTCTCAGGCTCCACATACAGAGATCTATCCTTTTTTGCAAAAAAGCAGGCCCTGGGCCTGACCCTATCAGCTGACCATCCGGATCATTTGGATGCAAAACACGGGGTCAGGAGAGGGAGAGAGAGAGGGAGAGAGAGAGAGAGAGAGAGAGAGAGCGAGAGAGAGCTAGGTTATAGAGTTAGAGACATCGCGCGCAAAAATCAGAGATAAAAATCCTCTATTCAGCCTCTTTTCCGGTCGATTAAGTTGGCCAAGGCCAAGGCGTTCCCTCTAGATTCAGAAAAGGTCGCCGAAACGCGATCATTCGGAAAAACGGGAAAAAGCGTTGGACAACGGATTGTCGCCAGCAGTGCCAGGCAGCGGCTTTCTGGGCGGTGGTGTATAAATATCTGGAGAGGCCGAGAAGGAAAGACAAATAGAACCATAGGTTTTCTGTTTTCAAGTTTATTTCGTTAGAAATGGTCGATCCACGTTTCAGGAACGTTTCTGAAGCCTGAAACTTAAAAAAAATGGGTTTAAGTAGGTTTATTTTACAACGGTAGAATACAACTACCGTTGTAAAATTACGCACGATCTTATTGGCAAGAAAACAGTTTATAAATAATAATTAGCATATAAATTTCTAATGTCCGTCTGTCCGTCCAGGAATTCAATCCCGCCGCGAACCCCCAAAAATACCGTAGCTGGGGGATAAAAATTTTCACCGGAGCCATGCGGTTTCGCTTTTTCCCCCCGGGAGGACCAGCGCTGAACCCCCGCGGAGCGGGGGGTCAGCGCTGGTAAATTAGCATAAAAGCCATACATTTTTGCTGATCCTCCTCTACCTCCTTCTCGCTCCCTCTCTCGCTCTCTCGCTCTTGGTTTCATTCACTCTCTCACCCTCTTTCCCTATCTCTCACTCGCCGTTTTTCTCACTGTCTCTCTCACTGTCTCTCTCTCTCTCTCTCTCTCTCTCTCTATCTCTCTTTCTCTCAGACCTACTATTTTGAGTAACGGTGACTACGTTCCCTTCACTATACCTTTAGAAGAATCTTTAACATCCAGACACCCCCCAAAGACCCGCCGGACTTTTTATGCTGATTTAAAATCGTTGGCTACAAGATCCACGGCAATCTCCTCAATTTTCCACGTTAGCCGACCCTGATTTTTTACAATTTTTGTCTGGAATCGAGCGGAAAATGGTTTTTGCGCTAACCACAAAATCACACAGCCCGAAAACGAGCTACGAGCCGAGAAACGAGTAAAACAACGATCAAACCCGGCGAATTTCCACCACGAGATTTCTCTCATTTTTTAGACAGTCTGCACAGCTGGGCGAGCACTAGTCTGCTATCTGCTAGACTAGTTCGGAGAAAGGCGACGCTCACGGATTTTCCTTTCCCTTCCCGGCTTTCTTTCTTTCTCGCTTTTCATCCGCCTAAAAGTTGACCGGCCACCCACCCAGCCAACTACCAATGATCCTCTTGTTGTCGTGAGTTTTTTGTGGTCGGGGGTCACGTTTTTTACGGCCAACAACCACCGCGTTTTTTGGGCACGCGCACCCGCAAAATATCCAGAGTTTGTTTTGGCGATCTATCAAGTTGGAGGAGGAGGAGACAGAGCGTGCGCGTGATTTCCGGAAAATTTAGATGTTTTGGAGGGCACGTACTTATTGGATGTACATTTTTGACTGGGCTCACGGTGCCTCGTACTCACACTGTGAGGCCGAGATCAAGGTTTTTTGAGGATTTTATCGCTTCTGATTGCTTACGGTAGGGTACCTTTTCTACTACCACCATAATTTGGGTCCCTAAAATTCCGATTAAGGAACGCGCAAACAATTACTCGCAATTTTGTTAGCTTTGAATTCCGAGCAGATGAATCACGCAACGCACACGGGTTTGTATGATGTAACGGATTACGATTTTTGTCACGTCTGAAAGCGATATGCGTTGCGTGTCGCGAAAACCTAATCGGAATCGATAGGCAGCAAAATCTACAGAGACTCTTTACAGTCGCTTTAAAAGAGTTAGTAGGATAGAAATAGATGGCTTCCGTTTCTGAAAGTCATTGCGCGTTCTTAACTAGAGGTTTTTCACGTCTTAGCCACCTGTAATTCGTCACCGACGAATCCTTAAGGTTTTTCTACATCAAGTTTTCAATACCATCTGACTCTATCAATTAAGCAAATTATACTTAATCGCATCGTCATTAACCAAAAAAAATGTATTGACCATCTTCCTGTAATTCTCTGGGTTCACCTAATTTTCCGAAATCGTGTCTCGGATCTCCACGTTACCGAAAACTTTTTAGGGATCTCTAAAAGTCGATCCGTGCTCGCTAGTTTTTTGAACGCTATATTACTCTCGCTTTTCCGAAAACTATGTTTTCTCATTTTTTGCCTGCTTTCCGCTAGCTTTTACCAGCTCCCACCACCTCGTTCTATCCCCCAGATTAGCCAAGAGAAAAATGAAATCATCTTATTTTCCTTTTTCCTGTTTTAAATTTTTCAGGATCCCGGCGTCAACAATTTCGTTATTTTCGATTCAGGCTTGGGGTGCCGGGGTGACACCGACAGATTGCAATTCCCACCAGGTCATCCCAAAAAAAGGCTGAAAGGGAATCGCGGTTTTTGTGGTTGAAAAGGGGCGGAGTTTGCGGTTAGAGAGAGAGAGAGAGGCGAGAGAGAGAGAGCGAGAGAGAGCGAGAGAGAGAAAGAGAGCGGGAGAGAGGTTGGAAAACGGAAAATAGGTCCCGGCGAGAGTTTGACAACCTCCTGGCCTACACCCAGATATTTAATGGGCAGTCGGTCAAGGCTTCACGATCAGTATCGCCCGGCCCCTGGAAAATGACCGTCTACCCCGGGTTTCGCTTTCTGTCTCGTGGGTGTTTCGGAGATTGTAGGGTTAAAATTGCGACTTGATTTTTTGCGTCTTCAAGATCCTTGTAATAAGGATACATGTACATAGACTAGATCCTTTTTTTCAGTATTGAAATATCGAACAAAATCAGAAATATGATTACTAGAAATTTTATAGTAAACGAATAAAACCTTAATTTTTTGTAGAGTTTTGAAGGAAAAAATCTACGTAAAAGTTAAAAAAACAACAGCCATTTTTTGCTTTGACGTTTTGGATGATTGTCTAACAGATGCCGTTCTGCTTAGGCAGGCTTAGGCTTAGGCTAAGGCTTTGACTCAGGCTTCAGGGACTGATCCGCGTCATGAATTTTTCAAAAAGACCAGGACCTCATCACCATTCCAAATTACTACGCAATTACAGTGGTAGTGGACGTGTCACTACTGTCCTTCTCATTCTTCTATACAACCCACCTCCTCCTCCTACTCCTCCTTCCTCCCCTCTATTTCGTTGCCTTCCTTCCATTCGGCGAGATCGGCCGATAAAATTTCATCACGATTCATCTGCCGCCTGGCCAACCAGTTACCCCTCGCTTCCTACTCTTTTCCTTTCTTCCTTCCTGCGTTCTCCTTCTCCCAAAATTTCCTTGCCGCCATTTTTTGAGGATATTAGACCTAAAATTCGTCAGATTTCGGTTAACGTATTTTTCTTGCCGTTTTACGAACTTTGGCAATGGAATTGAACATTATAAAGCACTATACAAAAATCTGAGCCATTTTTCCGATACTAAAAATCGTATACGAAAAATAGTGGCTTTTTTCCTTGTGATGAGGTTTTTCGTATTTTTATAGTTATTTATCTTGATGCGTTTATAGTTTAAAAAAATGGAGCGCAATGATCGTATCAACCCGGTTGACAACATTTCCGAGAGACTCCGCGCTACACTTGCAGAACAGGAAAAGGTCAGTATTTGAACAATTAAAGTACCCATAGTGGTCTTAAAGGGAGTGTGACAGTCAGAGGAGAGAGAGAGAGAGAGTGATCCGGAGTGTGAGAGAAAGGGAGAGAGAGGGAGTGAGAGAACTCTAAAAGTTTTAACGTCTATTTTCCAGGCAGTCAATATCGCCTCCACCGCCACTGGCGTCATCATCTCC